CTGTTTCAGAGGAAATGGGGAGCAGTCAGTACATGGAATGGACAAGTCAATATTTAGTGAGATTCCTGTCAACAAACTTGTCTGTGTTGCTAAGACCTTCACGTGGAGATAACTTGGACTGTACTCATCTAAAATATAGCCAAGTGTAATGTATGTATTTAACTGTGTGTGACAGAGTCGCTTACTACCTGGATTGTTAGAATAGTTGCAAGAAGTTCAACTTTACATGAGGGTGACTTGGTGTTTAGCAGGGAATGCCTTAATTCAAATGTAAATGGCTTAGTATCACGGTGGAGGAGATCCTTGAGACTACTAGTGAAAACCCTTCCGAAGGTAGGTAAGGTGAGTGATACAAAATGACTAAACAGAGGATCTTAAATATCTCTTCTTTCTTCAAGATAACTGGGAGGACCTAGTCAAGTTCTTACAGATGGCCAGGAAGAAGGCTAGAGAGTCTTACGTAGAGACAGAACTTATTTTTGCTTTGGCAAAAACTAATCGTCTATCAGAACTGGAGGAGTTTATTAGTGGCCCTAATAATGCCCATATACAACAGGTATGTTTTGATCCACAGTTCCCCCGTATGACTTGCTGCTTAGCTGACTTCTGATTCTTGCTGTTACTCTTGTTTACCTTGGACTCCTAATCCAGGTTGGTGATCGCTGTTACGAAGAGGGGATGTATGAAGCAGCAAAACTACTCTATAACAACGTATCTAACTTTGCTCGCCTGGCGTCTACCTTGGTGCACCTTGGAGAGTATCAGGCGGCAGTGGACAGTGGCCGCAAAGCCAACAGCACAAGGACTTGGAAGGAGGTAACTTAAGTGTTTTTTAATAGTCTGCAGAACGTACTTTACTGTTGTCTCTGAGCCTGTTACTCTAGAGCATAATTGGACTCCTTTGCTCTGTCAATAATGTGGGAATTAAAAAAAACTTAATTCCTATCTATCTACAATTAGCTCTGATAGTAGCTTGCTAACTTTTTCTGGCTACAGAGTGTTTGTAGCTTTATAAGCTATCTTCTTGCCCAAGATAATGAAGCTTAATTTCAAAATGGTGTAAAATGAATGGCAGAGATTTTAATTCTAGAGCAAGCATTATGGAAATACCTGTTTGGAACTGTATGTAAGCCTCAAATTTGGAATAGCTTTGCTAATTAACTTTCCCTTTACTATAAGGAGATTAAGTAAGCATTGCAGTAGCCTCCTGTTAAGTGACTATTTGCTAACTCTTGTTACAGGTATGTTTCGCCTGTGTAGATGGAAAAGAATTCCGCTTGGCACAGATCTGTGGTTTACACATAGTCATCCATGCTGATGAACTTGAAGAGCTGATCAGTTACTATCAGGTTAGATCACTGTAAACATCCTAGAAAACTTTACACAGCATACTTGTATCTGCTAGTAAAGTGGTTGTAGCGAAAACCCAATACTTTATGGGACTGATCTTTAAATTCATTCTTCTTCTATCTCCATTTCCTAGTAAGTGCATGCATTTTTTTCTGTAGTAAATAGAATGGTGATAGCTTTCACTGTCCCTTCTTTTATGATTCTGTCACCTCATTAGAATCATGTCTTACAAGTACAAGCACTCTCACTTGGAGAGAAAAGCAAAGCATGTTGAATTTAAGTAAACATGCTTTTTAGCAAGCTTTAAGTGCCAGTTGGTCATGAATTTGCAATTAATTCTTATTTTCCTAACATCCAGGATCGTGGCTACTTTGAGGAACTGATTGCCCTTTTGGAAGCCGCTCTGGGCCTAGAACGTGCTCACATGGGAATGTTTACTGAACTTGCCATCTTATATTCCAAATTCAAGCCTCAGAAAATGAGGGAACACTTGGAGCTCTTCTGGTCTAGAGTTAATATTCCAAAGGTATGCAGTAAGGTAGCTACACCGCAAGTGAAGTTGGGAAGCTGTTGGTGAATCAGACTGACTGATTTCTTATTTTATCAGGTGCTCAGAGCTGCAGAACAGGCTCATCTCTGGGCAGAGCTTGTATTCCTCTATGACAAGTATGAGGAGTATGACAATGCAATAATTACTATGATGAATCATCCCACTGATGCCTGGAAAGAAGGGCAGTTTAAAGACATAATTGCCAAGGTAAGTAACTAGTTAACTGAATCAGTGCTGAAAAATTCTCTCAGAACAGAGGCAAAAATGCACAATAGAATTGTCATTTTGAAAATGAGTTTCCTTAAGCAACTACTCAGTTTTCCTGCTCTACTTAAACCAACTTCCAATCAGTTTAGCACAAGAATTAATCTACTCTTATACCCTTTGTTTGCTGCTGGGCAGCACATTCTGTTGAGTAGCAGCAGCTAGCACAGGATGTTTTCGGAGACTGCTCTGGATCATAGGTCACAAGCAAGAGGCACAACCTCCTTAATACCTTTGAGCTGACTGCTGTTTTAGACTAAGGCTGTGACTGTTCTTGAAAGATCTCTGCAAACATTTCCAGCTGTTTCAGTGGGTGGGCAGTCCATGAATGCAGCAGAGAATAGTGAATTGATGAATAATTTAGACGAGATTTGAGACTGAACACATTCTTATTGGTCTTATGGGTTTTGAGGCAACAACTTAGACTGGTTAAGACTACAACCTTTACCAGCTTTAGGAGTTTCAGCAAATGGTCACATTAACTCTAGTGGGCTGCCTGTGCCAGGATCTTTTAACTGTGGATGGGTTAGAATTGGTTTGTACTACCCCTGGTAGCTTGTGACTTCACTGTCTGGAAACAGATGATGCAAGAAGCAGTCAAAGATTGAACAAGGATACTGCATGTAAGTGTAACACTTCTGGCCTCTAGAAGGAAACTTAAGCTTTTATTTAAGTCAGATAAAACTTGTGTTGAGTAATCCAAACTAAGCACCTTAGGCTTACTTGTGTTTGAAGTCCTAACTAGCGTCTAACTATGCAGGTGGCCAATGTGGAGCTGTACTACAAAGCCTTGCAGTTCTACTTAGACTACAAACCTCTGCTGATCAATGATCTCCTGCTTGTATTATCTCCACGACTGGATCACACCAGGACAGTCAATTTTTTCTCAAAGGTGAGTTTGAGAGATGGTAGATGAATAAAAATCCTCTTGCTCAAGTTCAGATACTCCAGTATCTGGCTGGAAAAAAAGGGTTGACATCTGTCAGGTGGATTTGCTGCCAATATAAAGAACTGAGAAGCAGCCCAATCCTGGCTTGATACAGGAAACACTGGAAGAGTTAGCATAACTGGCCTAGGAGGGTAGTTTTTATTTTACTTCTGGCAATACAAGATGCTTTGTCTGAAGAGTCCTGACAGTAACCACAAACTCTTGTAATAACAAGGGGGAATCTTTTTCAGGAGTATGATGTGTCAGAATCGGTATACTTAGTCTTGTATTGCAATCCTCTTAATTCCAGGTCAATCAGCTACTTCTAGTAAAGCCTTATCTGCGTTCAGTCCAGAACCACAACAACAAAGGAGTTAACGAAGCTCTAAACAACCTTTTAACAGAGGAGGAAGATTACCAGGTGAGCCCCACAAAATAGACTGCTAGGCCTTGAGGGATGCTCCTCTTTCTCCAACAAAAAGAAGCCATAGTAGAAGATAATTAACTTCTGTTCTGTTGAGTGAAGTCAGTATGACAGAGTTAGTGTCTTGCTTTGTTAAAAATGAGCTTTTGGGGAGATGCATGAAATACGCAGGGTAAACAAGCTGTAGCCATAGTATCAGTGTTCAGCTGGCAGAACTTACACTTGTGCACCATGCTTAGATGCTTCTCTACTGTAGTTCTCACTTACTACCATCTGGAAGCATGTGTAACAATTCTCTCTGAAACAGGGTTTGAGAGCTTCCATTGATGCCTATGACAACTTTGATAACATAACATTGGCTCAGCGTCTGGAAAAGCACGAACTAATTGAATTTAGGCGTATTGCAGCATATTTGTATAAGGGTAACAACCGCTGGAAACAGAGCGTGGAGCTATGCAAGAAAGACCGTCTGTATAAGGTGAGTTAACGCATCCTTTCTCTCTGACTGTCAAAAAGAAGTCTGTGAAGCATAGATCTCCTGGATACGGAATGTGTTCCATTAGTTTCAAATCTGGAATTCTAATTAGTCTTAGCCCTTCACTTGAAGTTTAAGGAAAGACTCTTGGAGCAGGAGCATTTGCAATTTCAAATGCATATCTTATCTAATTTCGTAATGTCCTGTACTTGGAGACCTGTCTGCGTCACTCAATGGTATCTGTACAATTTTCCATATCAGTGTGGAACATCCTGCATAAGACTGAAGATTTCTGCCCATGTTAGGGTACAGATGAAACACAATTACAATGGTATAGTGTGCCAGCCTGTAGTGAGTTCACGCAGGCCAGTTTGACTATTCTGTAGGAGTGCTGGCAAATAGTCTTCTGCCTTGATGCATAGCAAGCAGTTGATGCAACAATCTTTTCTGCTCTGGGTAATACTTAATATCTAATGGTGAGGTAGGTAGTATACCCAAAAGATTATTTGTCTTCTCTGTTACAGAACTAAGCAAAAATTTTATCAGGCCACTTCAAGTACTGAAGGAAAGCCTGTTGGATGTTAATACAAGTATCTGGGTTGTCTCAAAATGAGAGGACTTAGAACTGAGTGTATGTACTGTAGCTTGGCTCCTACAGAATATGCTTGGTGTTGTTAAGGACTAACTTCATGATATGCTAAACACCTGGCTTAACTAGGTAGCAATAACATGCACATAAGGTGTAGAGCAAGATGCTGACAGGCATGAGTCAAGCTTAACTTTTTCTTTTCTGTAGGATGCTATGCAGTATGCTGCGGAGTCTAAAGATGCAGAACTAGCTGAGAAGCTGCTTCAGTGGTTCCTGGAAGAAGGCAAGCAGGAGTGCTTTGCAGCCTGCCTTTTCACGTGTTATGACTTGCTGCACCCCGATGTAGTCCTTGAGTTGGCATGGAGGCATAACATCATGGACTTTGCAATGCCTTATTTCATCCAAGTGATGAGAGAGTACCTTACCAAAGTGAGTATTGCATAGGCTAAAATGTTAAGGCTTCTAGTCTGCTGGATGATTAGCATTATGCAAACCAGAGCTCTTTGCATGTATTTGGAATATTGTTATTCCTCAGACTGTCTTCTAGGAAGTTCTGTGGGTTTAATAACTTCAGACTAGCAAAATTTATAAATAGATGCCTTGGGACTTGAAAGAGGTCTAGTTAAACTTTTGCTTTTAACAGTGGGCATAAGCAACTGTGTGCTTTTCAAAGCAGCTCCATAGTTGATGAAGCTGAAGACTTGATGAGGACAACCTTGTATTGTTCTACTTTGTGTAACTATAACAAGAAAACAGAGTGCTTTCAGAGCGAATATAACTTTTGAGTAACTAATAGTACACACTATTCCTACATCAGCCATAAGAGTAGACTGCTGAAGATGATTTTTTAAAATGAAAAACAGAGCTTTAGATGTGTAGTCTGGCTGTACAATACTGATACCAATAGCTAGCCCTCAATTGAGAGAGAAGAGAGATTCTGATCATGTGTGGTCCTGAAATGCTTGTCTCAAACAGCTCTAGGATGCTAAGCTAAGCTACTTCCTTAGAAGGCTCTAGAGTTGCATAGGACATTGCAGGAAAGAACCTTTTTAAAATGAGTAATCTAAAAGTGACTGCTTCAGGTTGCCTTTAATCAGTCATGTTAAGTATTCCCCTCTGAATTTTCTTGCAGGTTGATGGGCTGTTCTATAAGGTGACACTCTGATTTCAAACTCTTTGTGTTCATTTGTGTCCCTCAATATCCTAGGATTCTTTTACAGGAATCTAGCTGTAGCTTCTGCCAGAAGAGCAGTGTAATTTAGCTCTAACTCATTTCCTGTTCACTTTCTAATGCTAAAAGGATAACTATTCACAAGCAACTTGAAAATCCAACCAGACTTTGCTCCTCTTCATGGGAAACAGAAGCAAGTGATTGTTTGGGCTCCTGTTCACTGTATTACAGATCTTGTGGCAGGGAGGATGTTGTTCATGAGTAAACAAAAGCAGTTGCCATGTAACAGGATGTGTTTTAAGTGCAAATTGCTTGTTATGCTCTAAATTACTCTAAATCTTTCAGGCATGGTGAGTTTGAATAGTAACATAAAGCTTCTGTAAACTTCTTGCCTGTTAGTATGATGAAAGTACTTGCACAGATCGTAAACTCCTCCTCATGTTCCACTGAGGAGGAACTTGCCACACAAGTTCACCTGTATTCCTCCATGTGAGGTTTAGGTCTAAGATCATGGTTTTTAAATGGCTGGTTGGATTTACAAGTAATCACATGTACTAAATACGGGATAACTTGCCAGAAGGAAAATCTGCATGGTGAAAGTGGTTTACAGTGGAACTAATTTAGTCTGAATTAACTGCAAAACATGGAATTAGAGAATGGGCTTTATAAATGTGGTATGTCTAAAACTGTCATGTAACTAACTTCAAAAGTACAAAAGAATAGACTAGTTTATAAGCAGGGTGTGTATGTCTTCCAGAACTTATCTTTCTTTTATGCATAAAAAGGTATTAAAGCACAGAATAGCCTATGCCCTAGAAGGGGACAGACACACAAAGTATGATGAAACTCATTTGGAAACCTTTTGAATAACTTCACTTCTAGGCAGCAAACCAGACAGATGTTTAGGGTTTCCTGGAGAGCTGCTCTTGTCCTTTCTTCAGGATATCTGCTCTCAGCATGCTTGCTGTTTATCCAATAGAGGGAGTAACTGCACTTCACTTCAAAGTTCCTTAATGCTTTAGGGGCAGTTAGGGGGAAAGTCTAATCCAACAGTGTGGGAATCCCAGGTCACAAGTAGAGCAATAAACTAGTTTGAAACTGGTAGCTATCAATTGCTTTGATCCATAGTAGTAGGGATAGCATTTGTAACTCAAACACTTAGTGTTGTTGTGAAGAGCTGTTAGACTGACAGCTATAAATGATCCAGTTAAAGACCTACCACCACTCAAGTTATTAATTTGAGTTGCAAATTTAAAAAAGTGCAGGAAACTGTTAAACATCAGGTTTAGATAACATCTCTGAAGTATAATAGAGATTCTTCTTGCAGCACTTCTCAGGCCAGATATGATTCTTGCAGTGGGAAAGGAGGCTGAGGAGCAGCTGAAATACAGCACCGGGCTAAATGTAGGTTTGCCCAGGATGTTAGTACTGCCTGTAGCTGGATGTGAAGCTGTGTGATTTTTATGCCTTGCAGTCTTTAGTCTCAACGGGTCCCTTATGAAAGGCACAAGTTGTTAAAACTGAGAGAAGGGAAGGTACTGTTGCCTTCTTGGATTACTCCCCCTACCCCCAATTCAAAATTGTATTCAGGGCTCCTGCATTACTGTAACAATTTCACAAGTGTGCTTAGCATGAATAGAGCATTATTTGGCACAATGCTGAGATCTGAGTAAAGCTGATACTACTAGACCACTTTCCGTGATGGTTCTAGAGTTTCCTCTTAAAGGAGTCTGTGACTACTAATACAGTTAAACTAGTACTCTGCAGCCTCGGTTAGGCTGTAGTCCTAGATAAGATCAAACTTCATGGGTCTGGAATATTTGCAAATATCTGGGTCCTCTTGTTTGAAGGGGAGAGGGATTGAAGATTAGTAGATGAGCATAGGTGCATTTGAGATGATGCTTGGAACTGCAATCTGAAGGGCTTGTTTTCTGGGTCATAGAGTTAACAGTGATTAGAACAGGGCGCCAAAAAGTGCTTCACTTGAAGGTAATGACGTTCTTAGCTGCATTTGACAGCTATTGTTTATTGCAATAAACCTAAAGCAGTTGGGAGGGTATGTTTACAACATAGCTTGCTGGGAACACACAGACTTTCATAGTCTCCAACTTGGTCTAATAAAAGGAACACTTGATAGCTAAGGTACCAGGCATGAAAAGCCTCAGACAATGGTGCAATTCCTAGACAAGACCTTCATACATCTCCTGTTCGCTTCAATGTAGGTGGATAAACTTGATGCTTCTGAGAGCCTAAGAAAAGAAGAGGAACAAGTAACTGAACCCACTCCAATAGTATTTGGTAGGTGAAAGACTTGGTTTTAATTGATTACCTATTCTCAGTCTTGCCTCAGTGGAGGTAACTTAAATGACTACCTCCAGTTGAAGTAAACTGGTTTCAACTAGATAGTAAAATGGTTGTCTCCACTAGATGAACTGTGTAAGTTGTTGAAGTGCATCTCACTCTTACAGTACTTCTACTCTTCAGATAAAGTATTGCTGCTCTTACATGGCTCAGAATTCTAGCTTAGGAATAGTAACAGGACAGGGAATACCAAGGTGTGCACAACCCCAGGAATAACCTACAGCATGCAAATTCCTCGTGTTATTCCTGTCTAAGAGGAATGTGTCTGCCTTCTGCTCTTCCAAGTAGAAAGGCAGACTGGCTTTCTAGCTCACCCATTTTAAGACATGTGCAGCCAAAAAACCATGGCTCTCCAAGTGTGCTGCTATTTTAGAATCCCTTCTGAAGAGGCATTCTGCTAACAAGCACCTAGAAGTGGCTGGTAAGGGAAGGATGTGACTGGTTCATTGTCTGATGTAAGCGTTAACCTGAATTTAACATATGCATGAGGCATGTGTGCTCCCAGTGATGAAGACAAATGTGCCAAGGTATATTTGGGCCTTTTGCAGCACTCTCCAGACTGTGAGATCTAACAGACCTAACTATTTGCTTGAATTGCTTTACTTTTCAGTTCTGACCATGCATGGGTTAAATAGTAGCAGTTTGTTTGGATTTTAGTAGGATCCCTTCAAAACAAGCCAGGTTTATCATGCCCTGCAGATCATCTTCCCTCAGAGACCTGCCTTGCTTTTGTAGTTTTGTGGTAGCAAGAGCAGAGGGCCTAGGTGCCCACTCTGTGGTGCATGTTGAGTAATAGTGTGACTTGCTAGTGTATGCTTGCACAGTGGCTGATTTTTAGCTAAAGTCTCATAATCCTGTCCCATAGTACAGCTAGCATTAGGGAAGCTTGGGTTCTTTAACTAACTTGTTTTTTTTTCTTGTGGTTTTCTAGGCCAGCAGTTGATGTTAACAGCAGGCCCCAGTGCAGTACCTCCCCAGGCAAACTTCCCATATGGATACACAGCACCAGGATTCACCCAGCCGCCTGTTTATGGTTTCAATATGTAACTAGTTCTCTGACAGACCTTCACTGTCTCTGTTCTCTTCCTTCCCGTCCCTTTTTAACTTCTCCAAGAAGTGTACAATGGTCCTAAAGGCACAGACGACCTTCTGTTGGCTGAACACACTTGCTGCCTGGCTCAGTGAGGAGACTTCAATGGGATGCCTGTTACTGTTATTTATTGATTATTGTCCGGTTACATTTCAACCTCTGAAAGGCAGCTTTTGTTAATGACATTGTGAGACTCTTGTCAGAAGTTAAGGCACTATTTCACTAACTCATGTAGCAATAACTGCTTGAGGCCAGGGGGAAGAGAGCATATTTTTCTTTCTTTAGCAAAGCCCATTGAAGGCAGCTGGGAAATTGCCTGGCACCAAGTTGTTAAAGCTTTAGCTGAAGCTACTGAAGTAGCAGAGTTGTTAACAATTCAGTGAAGCATCTCGTTAATAATGAATTGTTGAAAGCTTGTGCACATCTGACTACCCCATTTTATTTGCAGTCTTATGCAAAAGAAAATGGGCTTTCTAATATTTGTGCTCTGAATATTTAGAGGAATATTGGGAAAGCTTTCTTTTCTGGACAATAATGCTGTTGGGGTTCAATGCTGTTGGAGTCTGTTCTATATTTTCTGGAGTAGATCTGAGACTTGAAGAAAATAAATCTTCTCATGCCAGAGAGCAAACATTTCCCAGGTCCTTTTTGTTTAACAAGAAGAGAGCATGTTACTTGTTGACGTTAAATGGTACTAAAGGAAACCTCAGCTATGTGTGGCAAGTGGACATAGGGGTGTGCATGGGCTGCCAAAGTACTGGAGATGCAAGAGCACAGTGTCAGGGTTGGGGAGGGGGACGCACTGCTAAAATATTGAGGCAGTAGGGAGGTCCATAATCCTGACTTTTTATTTGCACCTTTAACTGATTCTGGCATTGGCTTTCTGCCACACCGTGTTCTGATCCTGTCTGGTGGGCAGAGTCAGCACCACCTGAGTTAACAGGGTGCAGGGACTTAGTTCTGCTATGCTGCAGTAGTATCAACAGCGTGTCCATCACCCACCTCTTTGAGAATGCTAACGGGGATGTATTATTACTTTGTGCCACTCTTCAAATACATGTATCATTAACGTTTTATGTACTTAGATAACAATGTATAATTTATGGTTATGAATCTTGTGCTAATCTTGAATATTATAAAAGTCCAACTATAAATGTAAAACTGCAGTATCCACTGTGTGGTTCTAGTCTTAATATCTTGGGGGTGGGGACCGGTTGGTAGTAACATGCTACCACTAACAGTATCAGGTTTCTTAAGCTGACAACTAAGGCTGCCAGGCAGGAAAAAGGGAAACTTGTGCCAAAGTACCTAAAGTAGATGGCTTAGCAATTAACTTAAGGGCCTTGCAGTCTCTTCACTGGACACATCAGCACACTGTCACGTGTGGAGGTCGTGCTGCAGGAGGCAGTCATGTGCTTACATGACTTCATTCACGGGACTGGAAAAGCTTTGGTCCTGTGCTGAGGGAGATGCTGCAGAGGTAGTGTCTTCTCCACTAAAATACATTAATGTAGCAGTAGTAGTGGTAAGCTACACGTCATCATACTGAATTCTACTTGAACAGGGCAAAGCATCTTTAAATGCCAATGAGTACAGACTGCCAGGGTTGTGAAATCAGTAACAGCAGCCTGTGCTTTGGCACAATTCTACCGAGTATTTTGTCTCCCTTGGTCACTGCACTGATAGCTATGGCAAAGAGATGTGGTCTCCACCTTCCTGACACAGGACAGAGTGCTCCAAGTGTTGATAGAACATACTAACCTCAGTTTTGTACTGATCAGCGCTCAACAGCTCAGCTTGAAATACTGAGCACCTAATGAGTTCAAGCAAATCTGTACTCTGCCCAGACTTATTCCTAGCAGGAATTAGCTGAGTAGCACACTATGTTCCAGAAAAATGGTACTTATATTTTGTAACTAGTTTCTTGTGGGTCAAACAGAATTTGGGTGAGGCAGCTGGAGCTGAAGACCAGCTCTAGGATTAGTATGACTTTAGGAGTTCCCTTCCTCAACTTGAAAATTTACTGTGACTTCACAGCAACAATGACAAGCTGATGGTGGAATACAGTGAACTGCTAGATTAAATACTAGAACAGCTCGTGACCTGTGGAGAATCGAGCTAGCCTGGGAATCCTTTATAGCTGAAGTCTGGCAATCTAATTACAGGAATGACTGAGTTCTCAAGGAAAGCAAAGCTGCTGGCTCTGAATAGTCTTGCTTTAGTTGCTCTCCTGGTATTTTAAGCTCTTGTTAAGTATAATGACTCTTATAAATGTTGTGATCTTACATTCTGAAATGCATCTGGAAACACTCCCTGCCATTACAGTGCAGCTCTACCTAAAATGTGGAATAAACTCCTGCATACCAGAGTACTTCACTGTTTCTTTAATAGTTAAATCATTCTCGGCAGGACATAACCCCTCTTCTAGTAGGTTAAGTGGAGGACTTAATCCAGTTTATGAAATTGTAGTGTCCATCCAAGTTTTCAAAAACTTGGATAAGATTGTTTTACAGAAAACCTCCTTTAAGCTTCTCGCTAATTCCCACTGCTTCACTGAGGTGGGGCTAGTGCTGTCACGTAGAATGATCTGTTTGTGCAAACACACTGCACAGTGCAGCATCTGGAGACTAACTTCTGGGCTTAGATACTGGCAAACAGTAACTTGCTTGAACCTACGTATAGGCTTTTACTGACTGATGCTTTTGCTGTGAGCAGCAGTATAGATTTCCTTCTGTAATAGCTCTTGCTATTTGTCAGCCTTTAGGAGGATTTTCCCCAACCTGGCAAACTTTGGGCAACCACAGATCTGACATCAGATTACGATCAATTCACAAGCATTGCTGTGCAGCTGCTTTAACGTCTTGTGAGCTAGGTGGAAACTGATCTCTCCACAAATGACTGCAAGGACATGTGCTGCTCTTGGCATAAAATTCTGACCTGTGTGCAGTTGCTCACTCTGTGCTAGGCACTTGAGCTGCTTACACTATGCTTTGCTCCCTCGCATCTTTAAAGGTTACTGGCTTCTTTTAGTACAAACACCAAGTGAAAGGAGAAGGGAGGAAGAATGTTTAATAAGGCTGCTGCTAGAAGCAGAATTCTGATGGAGGCTGCTGCTGTCTGCTCTGTTGGGCCAGATGAGCCATGCACCATAAACTTGGGAGGAATTAAGCTCAGGAGGAATGCATCACTGGGGTAAGTTCTGTTTCTTAGTGGCTACATAATCTGGTATTTTACAAGACTATTTCTCTTCCCCTTCCCTTTAGGGCTCTATAATTAAATGGTAGTGCAGCAGAAGAAAATACTCCAAAGTAATTTTGCTCCTTTAAAAAGAAAAATTAAAGGTAGATGAAGCCTGTTCAAGTTAGTACAAATTATGGGAATGATATAGGAAAGATAGTAGTAACTGTAAGGTCCAAAACTTAATTTTAATTTAATAGCTTCTTTTTTTAGCAACTGCAGTGCCCAGAGCTGGCACTTACAGGATGACATCGATCTCTTAATAAGGCAGCGTGAAACAAGGAACAACTTTTTTTCCCTAGCAAAACCAGCAACAGTTACTCAGAAGCATAAAAGACTTCTGTTTTTTGAACTCTAAAACTGACAAACATGTGCTGTGTTGTCAGATGCCCACTTAGATGAGCATCGATAACTTTTGTACTCGGGCGTGTATGATATGCTTGGGCAAAGCTGACTGTTCAACTGTAGCGTAGTTAATGTTTATGCTTTGATGTGTGACATTTTAATTGGCAGGCTAGAACTTGGCCACTGAGAAACTCTTAGTGTGATTAAAACAGCATGACAGTGGACCCAGTTTGCACTGATGAAAATTGAGGCTGGAAACCTTGCAAATCGTGGTACTATTTGTTCCACTGGTACCATTTGTACCAGGTTCCCCTAATAAGCAGTTTAGAAAGTGTGTGTGCTACCTTGTGACAAGGCGTATTTCTCTTCTATAGAACTTTTTTCAGTCTTCTGCTGTAAATGGTTTGGCTTGTCACTTGTTTCCAAGCTATTTCTTTTTTTGCTTTACAGAGTACCCCAAGACTGCTTCAATCTTATTTGTTTTCACAAAGTAAAATTTGGGGCATCTTGAATTTGTGGTAAAATGTTATGGAACATAAGGCTGGAAAACACTTAATGACACCCAAGTGCTTTGTGACACCGGTGTGTAATTAGGTTGTGGTTTGCAGAGTGAATTAATGCTTGCTATAGCAACCTGCAGGTGCACCAGTCCAGCTTAATGGATCTGGAGTCTTTTTATTCTGCTGCATCTCTTTCTTCAGCAAGCATTCAGCCTTCAAAGAGTAGCTAGTACAGCTTTCTTGGTTTTCGATACTGTGTGTTTTCTGTGGGCATCTTTCCAAAGGTAATGACAGATCCTGACTCATGTTTTGCTAATAAAATGCTGCAAAACTGTTAGCATGGGTATGCGTTTCAGTGTAGATTTTTCATTGTGGAGCCTTTGAGATCTTTCAGGAAGGTAGCAAAATCCATCCATTTTCTTCCAAGCCAAAATAGACTATAAAGTTGCCAGCTTTTAAGTGTTAAGATGGTATGAATTTGAAATACAGTGACTGAAGGGTAAGTCTTGTCTTGCTTTTATGTGTCAGAATTTAAAAATTCTGAGTCAAACTGAGTTTATGCAGTCATGCATTCTCCTATATGGTTTCATGACTCAAGGATAATTTTTTTTCCCTGTCTGCTGTGGTTTTAATCAAGACTTTAAAATATCTTCATCTAAAACTCTGTATTTCTCCTTTTCCTCCCTAGTAGTCATGAAAGGAAGGAATTCAAGTCATCTGGTATGTTCTTTTCCACAGCAATGAGGTCTCCACTATTATGCAGAGTGCAAATTCCCAAAGTGCTGGTTATCCAGCTGGGAAGCTGGGAGTGGATTCAAGTGGAAAGGGGTGGTTGGTAAACCTTTGAATCATTTTCCTTTTGGAAGATACATTTTTGTTTTCAGTTAGAGGGTGGGGAAATGGTGTCATCTAGGGGTAAAATGCTAACAGGGTTTGTCAGCTGAAGCAGTTTCTTCAGTAATACATCATGCTGTGAGGGAAGTGTGACCATGGTCTGGGAGCAGAATGATAACCTCTAAATGCTGTTTGCAGCACATGGATTTCACTCATCTTCTGAGTTGAGTCAGGCCCTCTGAAATGTTAATACAACAGGGACTTCTCTTGGGCTTTTTAGGGGCTTAGTCTTGGTAATCTCAGTGAATAATCTTGAATATCAACAGGAGCTCTTTTTGCACGTGTGCTCAAGTGGGAATCACGCAAGTTGTTTTGGAATAGCATCATCTTGTAGTCACGGTAGCTCCTGCTGCACACACTTGAAAGCTGAGGAAACATTGACTCAAATCTGCAATATGACCACTTCTCCTTGAAGTCCATTAAGGGTAGGATCTGTTACGTATAAAGGCATCATTTGTTCTTGTCAGGGAACCTGAGAGGAAATGAGTTTTCTTATTTTACCATAAGACCCCAAGTGATGTGGATTAATAATGCATGGAAAGGTTTGTAGTAGTAGATGAGTTGTAACCTTTTAGATAATATAGCTGTTCACTGAAATGAAGAGATGCTCAGATTCAGGGGTATATAATAGGAAGTTATCTGCCTTATATTGACC